CATAGAGTAAGACTCTCGGACAGGTAAGAACAATGCTGATTTGGTCAATCGATCAACTATAACCCAAATACTGTCGTTTTGACGTTGGGTCTTCGGTAGTTTAGTAACCAGATCCATCGTTAATTCCTTCCATTTCCACATCGGTACCTCAAGAGGCTGTAAACTACCATACGGTTCCTGGTGTTCAGCCTTTACTTGTAAGCATGTGGTACATTTCTCAACATATCGTCTAATATCAGTCTTCATCCCAGGCCACCAGTAATCTAAACGAAGATCTTGGTACAATTTGGTACTTCCTGGGTGTATTGATAATCACGACTTATGTGCTTATGTTAAAACAACATCTCGCATGCCGCCAAGTTTGGGGACCCAGATTCAGGTCTTAAAGACCTTCAAACCACGTTCATCTTCAGAGAGAGAATCAATGTATCCTACCATTCATTCTACTTTGACATTCTCAGGCTTCAAAGCCTCAATCTGCCATTTCCGAATCTCATCAGATAGATATTTTTAACCGACGTATGAATGATAGAGTAACATAGAAGTCCAGAACGTGTCTTCCTACTCAGAGCATCTGCCACTACATTGGCTTTACCCGGATGATATAGTATCTCACAATCGTAATCTTTGATGAGTTCCATAGCACGTTGTTGACGCATGTTCAAGGTCTGTTGATCAAATAAATACTTTAAGCTCTTGTGATCAGTATAAAGTTGACACTTTGTTCCATAGAGATAGTGTCGCCAAAGCCTCAAAGCAAATAACACCGCTGCTAATTCAAGGTCATGAGTAGGGTAGTTCTTCTCATAATCTTTCAATTGACGAGAAGCATATGCAATCATGTTGATCCCAGATCTCTCAATAACACTAATAATCTAGTTATGAATAACCAAAKTRTAKYGATTTTATGAAGAAAGTTATGAAGACTCAAGAATAAAAATAAGAATATTTATGAACAATCTTGAGCTTCAAAGGTTTTACTTTATAAACTCAGAAACGTAAAACAATGCGTAAAAGCCTTATTTTTTACAATAAATCTGATCACCTATTTATACTAAATGGCTAATAAAAAGATAACTATCTAATGCTACTTTCTAGCAAATCTTCTATTTAACAGATAAGGTTTATCTTTCATATGGATAAACATTAATATTAAGATAAACTCGAATTCCAGCTATTGACTTGTCATCTCCAGCTGTCATTCATGATATGATGATCTTATCCTTATCTTCGAATCTCTATCGCATGCTTGTATAAATTGCTGGAAAATCTTCTAAGTGTTGATTGATCAGAGGGTCGATGAGAATGCTCTTTCCATCGCATCCTTAGACTATCCATTGGTCCTCTGGTTGAACTGTCCATCGATCTTCTGGTTAAATTCCAAACTTAGTCGTTTCTGCCTTGATGTCTTCATTGGTCTTCTGGTTCTTCATCACTTGTTGTTTTTCATTATTTTTTACATTGTGAATTGTGAGGTTTAACAATCTTCCCCTAAGTAATGAAATAACAAACATAGTCTAATTTAGACATATATGTGAAGAACAGACACTAATCTAGTAGAAAAACATCAAACTCCAAATTTTCATTGGATGATGAAATTTCTTACAATACTGGAAACAAGATACATCAAGGCAAAATAAACAAAAGTTTTAACTCATCACGAGCTACCTGAGTATATCTCTCTGAAGCATAAGAGCAGTCTTCGATATGCAATGACCGTTGATATCTCGTGAATGAGATGACTCCCCTCTTCCCTTGGCACATGGTTTCTACCTAGTCTTTCTCTAATATTTTTCTGAAACCATTCAAGTGTATCTGTTGAATACTTGAAGGCTTCAGTCATTCTGAAGAACTTTTTAACCCCGAACTCATTCTTGTAAACAAGTCCAAGTTCAGGTTGAGTAAGAACTGATGCATATCGTATTTCCTGCAGACCCTGGAAGTCTTCGTTTGGAGGAGCGCAGGATAGTCTCTCGATGCCTAGCCTCAAAGCAATTTCAAAATCAGTTTTGGCTCTGTGTTTCACCAGGGACTCTATTGTCTTTACTATAGCTCGGTTTGCCATTCCAAATCTTATGCCGTGATCCTGCCTTTGAGCTGTGTAAGCATATAACTTAATCAAATCGTACGGGTTGAGATTGATGAGGTCGTTTTCGTTGAACATGCTAACTACCCCACGGGCTCTCTCCACGGTGAACTCGATGTATCAGATAACTCTATTGGCAAATGTCTTTACTTTTAAGTCCATGAATCTCCTTATTCCATCATTCAAAAAGACAGCCTGAGGTTCTTGAGTAGTCTGTCTGATGAAATGATGGTGTAGAAGGTTCATAGACTCAGGCGATAGAATTGGAGGATTGGTTGACAAACTTTCATCACGATCTTGATACATATATTGATGGATATTTTCCATCATGACTGGTTCCCTGGGCGGCAGTTGAGGTCATCTCCTCATCGACTCCATGCTCTGTATTATTTCATCCACCAAGCCTTGTGGAGGTTGCCTTGAGGAAAAAGGAGTATCCGCATGCACCACGGGTTGATGGGTTAAGGGTTGTGTTTTTGTTTGGGGTTGTGTATGGGTAGAGGGTGAGTTTTCTTTGGATGGTTCAATTTCATAGGCTTGGATGGTTTCTGGTGCATGGGTTTCTGTAGGGGTTTGTGGTTGTTGAGGCAATGGTTGGTTTGTTGTAGGTTATGGTTGTGTGGAAAGGGTGAAGGGTTGAGTTGTTCGAGGTGTTGGAGAAGGGGTTAAGGGTAAGTTTATTGTGGGTGAGGGTGTGAAGGTTTGGTTTGTTTCTGTTGGTGGTGTGGTTGGCTCTTCATCGGTTGATGAACTCAACACGATGGGGTCTGGTGTTGTAGCTAAGGGAACTTGTATATTCTATACATCATCAGAGGGAAAGGCCTCTGGTTCCCTTGCTTGGGTTTATTCGGTTGGAGGTGGTTGTTGTTGTGGTGATGGTTGCTGTGGTGCAGTGGATTCTGTGTGTTATATAGCCGCCGCCTCTTTCTCCCCCTCATGAGGTCTAAGACCTTGATCATCGGGGTCTGGATCATCATGTCGTCTGCATTTTAGGGGGCGGCTTGACGAGCAAGAGGCTCTGGTCCTCTTCTTCTTGCCCTTCCTGAAGGACGTAAGATACGCCTTCAGGGAGGCTTGTCTTCGACTTGCCTCCATTGTTTGAAGGAGAGAGATGGTACGTCGTTGTTCATCGGCCAGGTTTTGGGAGAGAACCCTCGTTGGATGGATGGCCCGATGAACGAATTTGGTACTAATCTCATTGAAAGATGAGACTAGCGCCTTGGACAGAGCCCGCAGATCGGCTCTGGTTGCAAAATCTGTGCTAGTAGGTGGTGGTGGTGGTGGCGGCATAGACGCTGTAGCGGATGGTGGAGGATGGGGAAGGTTTGCAAGGAGATTCCTCACCTCTGCAGTGAAGGAGGAGAAGACTGCTTCATAGGATGGGGCTGTAGAGGGAGGTGGGGGTGGACTTTGTTGTGGGATTTGGGCAACTATGGTGGCGGATATTTGGGTGAGGGTGGTTTGTATGGTGGCCATTTGGGTGGTAAGGGTTGCGAGGGTTTCATCGACTGTTGAAGTGGATGGAGGTTGAGGTTGAGGAATTTGGGAGATGATGGAGGCAGGTAGTTGATGAAGATTGTGAAGGATGGTTTGTAGTTGGGTAATGGTATAGGTGAGGTTTTCATCAGCTTCAGTTGCTTGAGCCGTGAGGGTTGCGAGGGATTGGATGAGGACTTGGTTTCTTTGGGTGGCTAGGGAGGATGATGTATTATGGTGTTGAGTGACTATTTGTTGGAGCATGTGTAGGCGGGTATTGTTGGCTTGGGTTTGGGTTTCAATTTGGGTTAGATGATGTTGGAGGATAGCAAGGGATTGGTGAAGGTCTGGGGTATCGGGTGAGGGTTGATTGTCCACAATCCCTTGTATGATGAGTTTAAGGTCATCCAAGGACCGCGTCACTATGTCGACAAAGGCTTGGAACTCTGCCTTTGTGACCAGATTGGCTAAAGGGGTAACCCCTGCAGCAACAGATGCTACAGGTTGTGCCTTTGTTCCTGAGGCGCCTTCTTGGCCTTGTATGAATGTAGGCCTTGAAGGACTTCCATCATGTCCTTGATAGCCCTCGAGAGAGGAGCTATCTCGTGATGTTGCTACATCAGCTTCCTCTTCCTCGGTTTCAGAGGCC